ATGACAGTTAAAATAATTTGTGTGTATGCTGGACCAAGGACCACAGATGGTATCAGCTCAGGTCAAAGGTTAAACTGTGCAAGTTGCGAACCAGGTTGACTCCTGTAACCTCTGTGTGGCTATTTTATGCAACAGGTTTCACATTTTGAAGCTGCAGTAATGTGTTGCACAGATTGAATGTGACTTTTACTTTTCACAGCAAAGTTGTATGTTCAACTCCGGCTAAAAAATATATAATTTGCAAATAATTCCCCACTCCAAGGAGTGGGAAATTAGATTTTTTTGAGTAGGGAAACTACTGTGAGTGCAAATTCACCTCTCTTTGCTGGGGGAGAGAATGGTGTAGGGTGCATAGGTGATAGGTGTAAAGATACACTGTATATGAATGTGATGTTACTATCGTGATAGGCACATCCAAGGTGACATTCATCTCACAATATACATGTAACCTATTATCTTGATATGTTTACTGGTACCTTATGTCTGATATACAGCAATTATTGCATTCATTGTTATCATACATTCACAACACATTTTTAATGGTTACAGACATACAAGGTATTAAATGGTTCAGGCATCTGGTTGTAAGCAAAAAGTATGAACATTGTGTGTACAAAATGTATTGCAGTTAGTTTTTTATTTCAGGTAATTTTTCTTTTTCTTTGTTCTTTGGTATAGTTATGTATGCTTATGAATTTAAAGCAAAGGAGAAACAAAAATTGACTGGAATAAAAAATTAATCACAACATGAATACTATGTTCTTTTTTTCATGCTTTGTATTCTACTGACTCTAAAAGCAGTTGAGCAAACTGTTTTTTTTTTTAATCCAAAGTTGGTCTCAGAATGGTTTACATTTTGTATTTTTCATTTTAGCCCTTTTCAGAAAAAAGCTGGTGGATCCATGTATATCTACTCTTGTGAATTAATCAGGCACACAAGTTCCAAGGTTATAAGATGATGTTTTTGCATAGCAGATGACATAACATTTGATAAGAGGTTGGTTGAGTTAGCTTATTCCTTATTTTCTTAGTTTCAGTGAAACGACTTCTTGTACAGTATTGACAAACTCAGTATATATTTAAACAAACACTGATATGCTACTTTTATAAACTTAAAGGTACATGTACAGCAAATATTGAATTCATTTTTGCCCGTTAAAGTGAAAATTGATTCAAGGACAAAATATATTACACTTCTAATATTATAACAGTTGATGAATATGCACACCTATCGGCAGAGTGCTCAATAGAAGGACTAGAGCGTAGTATAATCAAGGTTGTCTGGTGTCAACGTGAGATTTGACTTGGCATTTTTATTACTACTTAGTTTCGTACTGCACGGCATGTACGGCACTCCTCAGATAAAATTGCCAACAAAAACTTATTTACAACATATGCTTATATATAAGAATAACCTTATAACCTTCAAACATTTTTTGCAACAACAACATGTCCTTTTATTTAATTAGTCTGTTTTGTTCTTTGTACTTGTCCACCTGTTCATCACAGAGGATCACCAGCCTACATGTGAAATAAGAAATATTGTTACATTGCTATAGGCTATAGGTCACCTGAAATCTTACGATGAAACTGTTTTCTGCCAAAAGTCTCCGAGCCGGTAACAGTGCATAGTCTATAGAAAAAAACTGTGCACCGTTAACCTTGAACAACAACTGCTCACCGAGGTTTACATGTATTTGTAGGAGTTCTTTTTATAGGCTGTAAGACAAATTGAATCTCAGTACTTTCCTCGGCTCTTCCTTGGGTAACATTGAAACTTAACAATTATTGAAAGCAATGGCTTATTACAGCATTAATGACATTACACAATAATTATTCCTGGGGGGTGGGGGACCTTTTGACCACTGATTTGTTTATTCCTATATTTATTCTGGCTCCAAGAAGAAATAAGCATATCAAAACAATGTAGCATACAATTCAGACACAGGGGTTTCAATAAGCACCGACGACCGACAAAACGCGTCAGCTACATTGCTTAGAGAAGTCGGCTTCTTTTCCTCCGAAGAAGAAGCAACCAGTTTGAATAATGTGATGGACAAGAATATGTTCATGCGAAAATGTATAATGTAACTTAGTATGATTATCATTTGTTCATTGCTTGCAGGAGCCGTTAATTGTGTGGCTAGTAAATCAAAATTTGACTAAACCCCAAATCTTCTTGAATGGAAAACTTGCTCTTTTATACTCAGTTTAGTCTGATCCCCTAAATGCTGGAAATCGCTTGTTAGGGCTTTGCAGTTTTAAAATTTTCTGAGGGAGCATGCCCCTAGACACCTCTTGAAAATGTGGACTGTTGATACAGTCAGTTACTCTATTCAAATCTGCTAGCTACTTCAATTTTTATTGAAACCCTTGCAGACAGGCATTTTTTTTAGCTGTTTAAACCCTTTCTCCTAACATTAGCAATGCACGATCAACAGAAAAAGTTATGAGAATAATTTAATGAAAAGATGATCACCAAATGAAAAAATGCTCTGACCTTTTATCAAATTCTCCCATATAATCCTTTGAGGGAATGTATGGAGTTCAGTTGGGAGAATTTGTATGCAAATATTGGGGCATAAAGAGTTAAACCATTGTTGAACTATTTTGAAAAAATAGCTCACATGTCAGTGGTCTAAGGCTCTGTTTCTTTTTGGCTTTGCCTGTTCGGATGCGTGTTGCAGGGGCCAATAAGGTTGAAGGTACTATGAGCTGATGAACATGACATTGCTGCGCTAAAGGTCAAACAAGGGCACTTTGAGAATGGCATTTTGTTTCTTGGCAATTTAGTCATCTTTTGTAATGGCCAAAGGTGTTTAGAAGCATAACATATCTTAATGATTCAAATGCTGAGTACAGTGATGCAGCTGTTTAAGGTTTCATATTTTAGTGTGGCTGCTGGTTCAAGACATTTATGACCTAATTCGGTTATTGCGAACAGCACAACATACGTGAATTATGTTTCACCTGCTTCAAAGTGAAGTACAAAAATCATATTTTCAAAGGTTTACAAATGAAACATTAATAATTGGTATTTAGATATTGACTTTAACTTGCCACCTCGGCACCAGGTAGGCCAGTTCTTGCTGTTCTTTCATTAATTTACAAACACCCCCTGTTCTGTCTTTTGCTTTAGTGGGTGCAAACATGTTAGTGGCTATTCTTCCAGTGCTGGTCCCTTAGATCCTGTTCCACTTAGCCAACACTGGTTCTCAGCTATGTCAGCCCCATTTTTCACATATTCTGGTTTAGCTAGTTTCTCAGATTGTAGGAGACAATTTGAGTTGCCTGTGTATAACCTAAAACATTGCTGTTGTTGAAGGGAATTATTCACTCTTGGCTTTCCTGGAAATGGTGTAACAAGGGAGCAAAGATGGTGCAGTGGTGAGAGCACTCGCCTCCCACCAATGTGGCCCGGGTTTGAATCCTGGCGTCAACGCCATATGTGGGTTGAGTTTGTTGTTGGTTCTCTCCCTTGCTCCAAGAGGTTTTTCTCCGGGTACTCCGGTTTTCCCCTCTCCTTAAAAACCAACACTTTCAAATTCCAATTCGATCTGGAACGCACGGACACGTTTCAACGAGTTCTTATGAACTCCTTAGTGATCCGTGGGTAAACAAATTACAATTTACAATTTACAATTTTCAATTACAATTAACCTCCAGGATTGCTTTGCCTATTCCCACTTTTCACAATTATTTGTTGCTTTCTGCAGCTCACTTCAATTTCTCCTATTCAGCTTGTCATATATCTGGCATAAACTAGTAATAGTTGACACTACACCTACCCCCTCTCTGTATTGTCGGTCAATAGTATTGTTGCTCGTTGTGTAGCTCTTTGAAATATACCGATTCATAATGAAGATTTTCACACATATTCCGTACAATAGGTGAGATAAATACAGGAAACGCAAGGTTTCATGCACAGTTTCAGTTTGATTTACACAGCTTTGATCAAAACATTCTCAGTTCCGAGAATAGTTTATTCTAAACCATAAGAAAAGATTTAATTAGAAGTTATTTTTCGCTATTTCCTTTTTCACTTTTTACATTCAGTTCATTTTATTTGCCAGAAAGTAAGCCTTAGAAATTAAAAGGACGTTTGATCAATTCACGCTCGTGCATTCTAGTGTTATTCTAAACTTTACAGCGGAAGGACATCTGTGAGCAGGGAAAAAATCAGCACAGAATTTGATTGTCGTTGAATTTCTGTAATCGTCCATCGTTCTGCTAGTGATAAGCTAGCCGTTGTTCACTCATCTTGCTTGTTTGGGGCTGAGTCTTATTGCGGTCAAAGAGAGAAAAAGAGTGTCTGGCAAGGTTTCTGATATAAATCAAAGATTTGTGAACTGGTGTCTGGCAAACTCTCCCAGTGTTTATATATAAACAGTTATACGCACCCTTTAACTTCGACAAGCCCCAGTTATCTTAAGAAATCATAAAGAAACCTTTGAGTCTTCCCTCTAAGCAACATTTGGTGAGTTGATATTCAAAGTACTTTAACAATTTCTTAACAACTGCATCGCTAAAATGGAGGTTGGAGGTTGGGTGCAAGAAAGTCATTTTTAAAATTTGCTGTTTGGGCGAGCTGAAGCTAGAATATACTAGCCCAAACGTCATTTCAACTAGCCCCCAAAAAATTGATGAGCAGAATTGATTTCACAGTTCTTGATCTGTAATTTGAATTCCTCAAAAAACTTCACATTAAGAACAAAATTCACTAGCCCGATAGCAAAATCCACTAGCCCCAGGCTATCGGACACTACTTTCTTTGCTCGCTGCTTAAATACACTTTCACATTATTCCCATACAGTAAAAATACAAAGAGGATTTCAAATGTTGCTTGACTCGGTAACAATATTCTGTTCTACAACTGAAACCACAATAATGAAATACAATGTTTTCCCTTGCATTTGGACTTTTTATTATTGTCTACAGTACCACTGTATGGTAAAAGGTTTTGTGACACACCCAAGTGCACTGTTGAGTTATGCGCGTGTCTATGTAAGCAAAGGAGAATATTTAAGGACAGAAGAAAAGTGCATGCTAGTACCTGTAGTTCTCTCAATAATATGGTGTAGCCTTACCCTGTCAGTGTTTGCCTCCTGATTTTCTTCTTCCTCGTAGTACACTACTGGCTGAAAGCTAACTTCTCCACTGAAAACAAGAATTTATTGTACATAATTAGTGTACATGTTTTCAAAACAGTGAGCAATTCCATGAAATGATTTTATCATATTATTTCTTAGCGGCAGTAGTGTTTATTCTATTATTTTTATAGCTTGTGATAAAGTGGAACATAGGAGAGCTCCTTAACACTCTTCAGCACGTGTAGACTCTGGGAAGATATACATGTAATAATAAATTTGTAAACAACAAATTTGCCAAATTCCTGGAATGTTGATTTACAGACATGTATGCATTTTACATCCACTTAAGAGATTGTTTGGTCGCAGGAATCTTTTGTTCACTCCATTGCAATAAAATCAAAACAACAATCCGTGATCATAACATCATTGAAATTATTTCCACTGTAACGTTCACATCATCATTCTGAAAATCGAAATGATTTGCCAGTGTGTCTGTGTCTTTGGTCATTTTAGAAGGATTTGCAAAAGAGGAAAGATAGTTTGTCCAAACATATGAGATACTGGACTCAACATTGACGTCTTGAGTTTCAAGTATTAACTATTACATTTAACTCACCCTCTAAACCAGAAACTCAATCTGGGTAGTGTAATAGTTAATACTTAAGCAATGATCCGGTTAAGAAGGGAAGCAATTTCTTTTGTTATGGTGCAATACACTTTCCTCACATGGGGATGTTTTCATTTTCACACAGAGAATGCATAAAGTTCAAAGATTATTGACAGATTTTTGCAAAGTATTAGATACTTACTAACACTAGCCTGCAAAATAGCTAGAGTTAATCTAGGCAGGTAGTGGAGACTGTCTACGGAGTAAATTTACATTTTGCATAAACTTACATAAAGGTAGCCTGCGTGCAGACGATAACTAAACTCTGATTAGTACCGTCTGCGAAGCAGCGCAGAGATCCTTGTTCTGGACCCCCAATGGACTCAACGAATTACCTGAAGTGCGTTTCGAATTCTCCTTCAACCTGATTGGCGATCACGACAAACAAAACAATGGCCTTTTTTAACTGGTCATTCGTGGCGCGTACTCAAATCTGGGTACACAGCTCGAAGTCCAGAACAAGGATTTCGGCGCTGTTTCGCAGACGGAGTTAACCAGAGGTTAATTTCGTCTGCACGCAGGCTAACATAAAGGCAGTTTGCAAAATAATATGTACTCCATTTTTAAAGGGTGTTTTTTTGTTTTAAAAGATTTTGACCAATCATAAGAGTTAAAAATGATAGCCAAGAAGAGTTTACAATAAATTTTACATGTTCTTCACATGGGATTTATGTGTTGTTAAGACTCAGTCAAGATTTTGTTGTAAGGAAGTTGTTTAGAAAACAGGGAATTAATATACATGCTACTTGTGTACCAAAAACTTGAGGCATTGTACAGCTGTATTGTCATCTCCAGTTTCTGATTTGCCTGAAGCAATTTTATTGGTTAAAATCAAAGTGGAGAAACCATCTTCACTCTGATGATAATCCTCTCGAAAAGGAACAAAGAAAGGTACAGACAAACATTCGAAAAGTGATCTGGTTTGATTTGTGGCATGAGAATCAATAAACCAGAAAGCACTTGGGATCCCTATGGTTTGGGTATACATTGTTGTGTACTGTTTTGTGTGTAGGCACACGAGTAGTTGTCAGCTTTTGATGTGCCTGGGTGGTAGTACTTGTATAAGCACAATCTTTTAACACAGTTTTTAAATGAAATGTTATCTACCGATAATATTATTCTTTTGTTGAAATTTGTCATAACTTGCAAGCAAATTAAATCTAAATGGCAAAGTGAACCATTGCATGCACATAATAAGGCACTGTTATTTTTTTTTCCTTTACAAAAAAGGCATACACTAGGAGATTCAAGTTCTGTTTTAATTTCCTTGTGAAGTTGGCTTTATCAATGCTTATATGGTTGCCTGTCCTAGAGACACACATTCATTACTTTTAAAGCATTATCTCAATTTACGTTCTTAATGCAACTTCAAAATCTAAATTTAAATAAAATAAGAGCAATTTGTTATGTTCACTTTGAATGAATTGTCACATCAGATTTTAGTTAAGTTGCTTTAGGACTACAGAACATGGTCACTCAAGCTAATTGGGTTGGCCACCTTTAAACCTTTTAACTGACAACTTACTAAACGATGTTCAGGGGCTGTGTTGTCGTCTCCTGTGTGCAAACATGCACAGGTCTCCCATTGTCAGTTACATTTAATTCTGGTCCCTGTTAGAGCAATAAATAAGGCATACTGTGAGCTTTACTGTTACATTGCAAAAATCAACCAGCATTCATTGTTTCAAATTGGCCACAATGGGAAGTTTTCAATCTTTAATTTGACAGAATGCAATCTGTCATGGATGAATGAGTGTCACTTCCAAATACCGTATTTATTTTGTTAAGTGCCCCTCTTAGAATATGCACCAACCCCCCCCCCCACCCACCACCCTCCCCCCTCCCCCAAAAAAGAAGAAGTGGACAAGAAGAGTATTGCTTATGATTTCTTTAATGCCCTATCTGCTTCTCATTGAATGACCTGGCCATTTACAGATGATACACATGCCTCAAACAAGCGCCAACCTCAAATAAGCTCCCACTTGCAAGGCTCAAAAAATTTAATAAGCACCCAGGGCGCCTAATCAATACAGTAATTCAAGTAAGCAGATTGAGTGACATGTTGATTTTACCAAACTTGTCAGTATTGTAGCATACAGTGTATGTTTCTCCCACAGGCTTAGAAGGTCTGGGTTTGAGATTCTATGCATTGACATAATTTTATCTACAAAATACGTGTAAAAATGTATTTTTAAAATTAACTGAGTGTAAACTGTTACTCACCTCTAGCCTATCAAGATCCTGGTTGCTGTGAAGAACAAAGAAATCAAAGAAATCAGAAGGTACTGTGAGAAGGCCATTATTATTAATAATAATGATTGTATTACAGAGCCATTAGATTTTCTAGTGGGCTTGTTATTAACAACTGCTTTTTTAGTGCTTAAAGTATATCTCTATTTATTTCAATTTGATAATACTGTAGGCCCTGCAGTGCTGTCACTAAAGGGTGGGAGCCAGGGATTTCCCCCGGTTCATATATGCATGTCTCCCGACCACTTTCATGAGACAAAATAGGAAAATAGAACCAGAAGAACTTCCTAACTGTTCAATTCCCCGTCTACTTGTTGCATATACCCAGCAACATGAAGTCTTAGTGACAACCCTGCCTTGGGAGTAAATACAGTGGAATCTCTCTTATAACAAAGTCCTCAATATAATGAATGATTTTCATTAGCCCAGTAATAGTAAAATGTATGGAAAATTATAGCGAACAAATTTTGAAAGTCCCTTGGTCCTTCATTATATTGAGGTTCTACTGTAATACATGAATGTAGTTTTACGGTTATAGAGATGCGAGTTTTTAGTCAGTGACAGAGGCGGCTCGAAAGTGGCCTTTGCTCCCACAAGTCTACCATAGCTTAATGGTTGAGCATCTGTACTAGTAATAAGAAGGTCATACATGTAGGGTTGACTCCTATTGGGAAAACTCAGAGTTTTTCTTCCGAGCCGCAAATGTCATTGATTGAAAAATCTTCTTTCTCAGTTTTACTGTAGCACTTCAAAATGTTAATAAAAATTATCGTTAAATAGCTCAGCTAGTGCACCAATTAGTTATGGATGCAAGCAGGAGGTTGCTAAGCTGAGAACAAGCACAAAAGTGTCTCTTAGCAAATAAAAAAACCTTTGTAACACATTATGAGTCATTAGTGCACAGCTGTGATGCTTACTTACTGTCCTCAGCTTGCACCCACTTGCAGCAATTGTTAAACTGACCAATCAGAGTGTATGCTGTACTATGGTTATTCAATAATTATTATTATTATTACCAGTACAGTGAAACCTCAATATAACAAGGGGCGAAGGGAATGGCAAAATTTGTTCGCGATAAGGAGATTTTGTTATATCGAGGTTCTTTTTCATTTATTTTACTATTACCAGGGCAAGGAAAATCGTTCGTTATACCGAGGACTTCATTATATAGAGTTTCGCTATATTGAGGTTCCACTGTAGCATAAGATATAAGTTAAACTGTCTTGGTACATGCTCTAAGAAAAATGTTGTAGGGTAAACAAAAATGTCCCCTTCAGGTCCCACATAAAGAATAGAAACAGTGGCGAATATCAGCATAAGCAATGCTAAAAACAATAAGAAATAATTAATAAGCACTGCATTCTCCTAAATGTAAATGCACAGCACTTGTTCAGGGCAAGGGGTGGGGGTGGGGACCCTCTTTCAAGTAGACTTGTCAGTATTCATACTAATCAGCCCCACCAGCCTTACTAAAATTGTGCAAAGTTAACTACATGTTAAAGTGTTTTACTCTGCAATAAGGATAGCAGGTCTAAAGGCATAAACGTAAAAAGTAACAATATTAGACAGCCACTTATTTAGACTTTTGGGCATGTTATACTACAATCATGGTACCATTTTCAATACTCACATATGTCCAATGCTAAACGGCTGCAATGACATTAAAAGAAACAAAAGAGATGTGAGAATACACAAATATTGACAAAGAAAATTAAGAACAGTTGTCATTCAATTTAAACAGGGTGGTAATAGAGTGGTATCTGTAGTACAGTACAATTCTGTTCAAATACTGTACACATGACTTCAGAAAGGAGATGTTTTTTTTATGGGAGTATAATCTTGTAGTAGCCTACAGGATGTATATGTATGTGATGGACTCTGATTCATAGATTAGTGGTCTTGTGGAAACCTTTTCTCCAGATTGTTTTCAGATAGACTGTTCTCACCACCCAGGTCGGTCAAGGGGTACTGAAACGACTTATATTTCTTTCATTCAATAGCATTTTAATTTTTTTAGTTTATAGTATGAGTCTTAAACTGTTCTAGATTTTGTTAACATTTTTATCGTTGTTTGTAATTTCAATATTATATAGACTCACATTCTGAATTAATGGCTAAGTTTGGAACAGTAAAACTGGTCAAAATTTTAGTTGTTTGGGAAGACACAGTGCGTTTTATGGAGAAGAAGGGAGCGAGATTTCGAGGGGTTAGGGATATCCAAGCTCGAAATTACGAGGGCTGTCAGCACCCTGTACAAGATTTTGTTGGTATGTAAATCCGAAGTTAAATTAACTGAAAAGGTTTTATGTATCGGTTCAGTATGTTGTAAACTGACCAACTGACTGTTTTTGGAAACATATTCGCAGTTCTTTACCTGCTTTTTTAAAAATCACATTCCGCATTACGTGGTAATAATTGTCACATGTGAAACGAAGTACTTTTAGGCACCTTCCCAAAGCCTTCCCGTGCAGCAAATAGACTGCTCCACATATATTAGCTTTATTTTAATGGTCAAAATGTTCTGTGTTTTTTACTTAATAATGATAGTCTCTCGCAGGAAAGGTCAAATTATTCGCAAATGAGAGAGGGATAAGTCAACTTTTGTACATGTATATTTATGAAATTCGATTTTTTTGAAATTCGATTTTAACTTACTATAGTGTTCCTTTGATCCATTGACGGACTGTATCTTTGAATTTTTAAATAAAAGCAGCGTGAACTTCGATTGCAAGGCCTTTTTGTTAATTTTTGCTTCCAAACAGTTGTGAAGATTCGGAGAGATGGAGAGGGACTGGAATCGAGAGAGCCACTTACATGTACTTCCTTTCCCTTCCCTCCCACACAAGCATTTTTGTCTTCGAAGGATACGCTAACATGCAGGCCCGTAGTTATTGTCACGCAACATTTCGTGACAGAGATCAGAGAGACAAACGATCGCTCTCAGTTGATTTTAGTCTTAACCAAGGCGAACGCCAACGACAAACTCTGCATTCTGCTCTTTTGCACCATGTTTCAACACTGTTCATGTTGCAAGTTGACATCGGCTTTAAGATATCACGCATTGTTTTGGCGAGTGCAAGTTATCAACAAACGCTGTCGATTTCATTATGTTCAGTGGAGTTATTGATTCACATGAATGATAAATGCTTCCCTAATACGAGGTCTTGTATTTTTAGTTACTTAAAGTCTTTTGTCTCGGTCACTCAAAATTTAAAAACACGAGAACAGTTTCGACGCGTCACGCTGTCAGGGCTTTTGTTGTTTTCCAGGGTACCCTATGGGTATAACAGCGTGACATCTGTTTGACATTTAAAATAGCGTGTATGCTTGACGTTTTGAAAACTTACTCGTAAGTTATGTATTAATTATACTATATTCACCTTCGATAAAAGTGCGCCTTTCTGTCAGGTGAAGTACGCTCGGGAGGTTTCACTTCATTTTCACTGGCCATCATGAGATATGATCCGTTTGTACTTGAGGTGTTGAGGCGCTATTTACAAGCAAATAATCTGCTTTAAACACTGAGACAGAAGCTTGTGTCTCGGGTCTTTCACTTTTCGTAACTCCTGTCATTTAGGCATTTGTAAATGGAATCACCGCGCATGGCAGTCAGAAGTAGGCAAATTTTGGTACGTTTTCACTGTGAAAAATAAAAAAAGAGAAAGTGCAAATTAATACGTATGCTACTGACTATCTATATGTTACTCGTTTCTACCGCTCTTGTCTTGCTGGAACCACACTCAAAATGAGCTTTTCAAGTTGTTGCTGTAGAGGAGAAGTGTCTAACGGCTACCCAAAAAGACAAACAGGGCGTTTGTATAAATGGAATTCAAAATGGTGGCCCAGCTTTACTCAAAGGTACCCAGCATACTAATCCAAAAAGGACAGTTAAAAGGTCGCACCGACGTTTTTAAGCTTCACCCTTCATTTGGGAAAATTGTAATCATCATGGTTCGTTTATACCTCAAAGAACTTTACCGAGGGTGCTATGTATCGGCAAGTGCACTTTCCCACACTTTTGCGTCAGTAGTTTGAACATAGGACAAACAGTGGATTGTGGAACTTATTTGGGCGCGAACTTATGTTTGGTCGACATTTTTAAATAACAATTCTCCGACATTTTTCAAGGGTGCTTATCTATTTTGAGCCCTTTCGAGTATCTTTTGTTTTAGAGAATAACGACCGTTTGGTATTTAAGTTTGAAAAGAAAATCACGGTGCTGATCCATTTTGAGCCCTTTAATTCTCTTTTAAGAAAGAAACACAAACTTTGTCTAATCTGTTATTCATTTCACTTGACCTCCACTCAATAGTCTTCTTACGACAGTGATTGTAGACAGGCAATTGTGATGACCAGCAATTTGTTTCAGTGATCAGCTGAGTAGAAAATCCAACCTCTTTGTAAATGATAGTTATCAATACTCCGAGTGATGTCTCCGTATGATTGCAAATGGCTGTCGTCATAATTCGTATGTGTTTCAAGAATAGGTCACTTGTATTAAGTAAGAGATAAATACCGAGAACGGAGGTATATGGATTAATACCGACGGTGGAGGTATTTATCTGACTTATTTCATGATATTTATTCCTGAAAGATCTTTATAAAATGGAAAACACATGTGTCTGTCTTAATATTATAAAAATTGAACCGAATTTTTTGTCCCTGATTTACCATGATTCAATAGCCACTAGCCAGATGCACGCTCACACCTTCATCGAAAAAAAGTTACAACATTGTGAGATCTTGACTAGGTTTTGAGAAACTTTTTGTGGTGTCCTCAAGGGCGTTTGCTTTGTATTTTTCAGCTTCGGCTTTGTTCAGTTGTTTTGACCATTTTATCGGCGTGTTCGATTATTCGGTAGGTGGGTCCATGCTTTCATGTTATCATGGAGTTCAGGGGAAGGACGCGTTTTATTTAACCCCTAGACGTCGATTCAATCAATCAAAAACTTTATTTCACTTCGAATTTCAAAAAGATAGCATAAACTTATGCTAATATCTCCGTAGGAAAAGCAAAAACAAATAGAAATTAAATGAAAAAGGTAATTAGAATATAGTAATACTATATATTATGTACAAATTTAAGATAACGCAGATAAGTATTCTGATGACGGTAGGTTTTAAAGGAAACAGCAGATTATATGCGTTAGGTCGTAAAGCATAGTCTCACAATATTTTTTTATACATTTTGTAGTTTGGTATGGAAATTGTCCAGTAGGCCACAACGTGCTGGGGGAAACGGTTAAAAGGTTATGCAAAGACGCTGGAATTGAAGGTCCATTCACAAACCATAGCGACAACATCCTGGACCGGGGGACTGCAGGAAGGAATTCCAGATAAATTTGTAATGAGCGTACGGAGCCTAGAGATGTTAGGTCTTTGCAAAAATATCAACGCCCAGATACTTCAAGTAAGATGGAGATTTCGAAGAAGTTCGACTGCTGTGAAGTCGTGTCACTACCCGAGTCAGTTACTTCTGAAAAGGTTTCAATAAAACGTGAAGTCGATTAGACGAGGAAGAAGTGAAAGACTGTTCAAAATTTCTGAAGGGATGTAGTGAAGTCGGAACGTCTGCTACGTTTTATAATTGTACTGTCATAGTCTCAAAAGACTTTAAATTGTAACACGTGGGAACAATTTTTCACGCTAAGTCGATTATTTTCGTGCATATTTCGAAAAATAAATTTAAATAAATTAAGTTTAAATTTGTCTGGAGGAGGCATTTTATGTCGTCAGAAACAGCAAAGTTGAATTGCGATTAATTGCAACGATAACTGTTATGAGAATTAATTGCCATTATTTTTTTCGTTTTTGGGTTTGTTTGTTTAAAATCCCTCAGTCGAGGGATTTATCTGTATAAATCCCTCAAACGAGGGATTTATACAGATAAATCTCCAATAGCCCACATTCGATATATTGAAATTCTAACATGACTCCGAGGCTTTCTGGTGCTTTTTTGTTTTGGTTTGGGTTTTCTTTGTGCTTAAGTCTCTTCTTGCAATTGCGAGACAATAGAGTCGTGAAAAATGGGTAATTTTAGCCCTAAAGCCTTGGGGTCATATTAGAATTTTAATATATCGAACGTGGGCTATTAATAGCTATGAATTCAATTCATCAGACTCGCTCTTCCCTGCTGCGTTATCAAGCCTCCCCGGACTTTCAGTTTGTTGAATATTCAAGAGGATTGTACGTTAAATAAAGGTTGTTAAATAACAAAAGAAAAGGTGTGAATCATGAAATAAGGTGTCTTTAGAACCCTCGAAGCAAATTAAACATTCATAACTTCACGCATGAACTATAAATATCCTGTAGGAAAATGAAAGCCGGGATTACTTGTTTAGACAGAGTTCTCTTGATGTACAGGTTTAAATTCTGTTCGGCCTTCTGTCGGTTAAGTTAACTTAACATAAGAAAATGAAAGCGTAGTTGTCTGAAGAACCCTCATACCACAAATAAAAATGCCAAATAGTTTTGAATATGTCTCATACTTTTGAATACTTTCATCGCATTTCCGCATGCAAACTTTTAGATTTGTCCGATGTGTTTCGTGGAACAGTGTAAATTGTTTGTTAGTCTTATTATGAGCCTGGGCTGCCTATGTGTGGTCATGGGAAAAATAACCTGCACGATAAGCGTGTTTGTGGTACTCGAACCAAAGCATTTTTTGCAATTTCGCATCTGTAGAGCACGTTAACGGCAAATAACAGTGAGAGATGCTGACGTAATAACAATCCTTTTTACGTTGGAAACGGCAAACTTAAGTCTGCTGTCACCCTGTAAAATTGTTACATGGTCTAGCGGAGAGTCTTTTGCCACTAGACCTGTTGCGCAAATCTCATGGCTTAAGTTGACGTCTCTGTGACCCGTTGTAATCGATTTGGATTTTTTAACCACTTGCTTAACCTTTACATTAGGTTATAACTTTTCCCTGGATTTATACTTTTGTTAATCATAGTTAAGTATTGTTTTGTCTGCTATCCTTACCTTTTCTGCCTTTAGCCGCCATACATCTCTACTCGCCCAACATACTCAACACTGAATTATGGTATAAAGTGCTGTACAGTTGCTTGTTATTTAAGGGTAATTCCCTCCTTTGGTAACGGAATGCTTGCATGTCCAAACAGATTCGATGTTTTGATAGTCAGTCACATCCACCATTAATCCATTCAATTGAAATGTGAAGATACTTGGTCGCGCTGTCAGAAGTATTTACTTTATATTCTTGAGTTTTTTTGTTGGATTTCGCTATCGTGTTGGATTATTGGATTTCTCTCTGGATGACTTGATAACGTTCGCGACAATGTACTTGCAATCGATTACGTGGCAGCTCTGTTGTCCGAGAACTCTTGTTATCATTGCAAACAACAATGTTTCATTTACGTGATATTAAAGAAAATTTCGAATCTAACCTTTCTGCTTTTTTTGGTTTTGTGTTTGTTTCTTTTGCTTTTTATAAAACAAAACCCGTTTACTTTATTACTTAGGGCCTGTTTACATGAAGGTGGGGGACCCCAGGTAGGTGAGGTAACACGTGGCAAGTTACCCCACCTGACATGTAAACGTGATCACATTAAAATGAGAGATTATATGGACAAGCGGGTTACCTCACCTACCTGGGGTCCCCCACCTCCATGTAAACAGGCCCTTATACGGAAGTAAGGTCAGGTGCCTTAAAACTCTTTATGTGGCGTTTTGTTTCACGTGAAGCTGGGATTTCTACTTTCAGTTTCCGAACGATTTTGAATATTGCTTCGGACAGCAAATTAACGGCGGTAATAGGCAGATTTCGACAACGGCTGGATTTGACCGATGGCAGAATTGGCAAGTTGTGTATCGGAAGTCGCGTTCA